CCTCTCCCTCTCCCTCTCCCTCTCCCTCTCTCTCCCCTTCTCTACTCTAAGTCAGTGCCTCCCCATACAATTCTGCAGCAGCGCTAATTTATGTTGAACAACACACTCTAGATGACCTATTGGTGGTAATGCAATTCTATTGAGAAAATGAAAATAGAAATGTCATGTCGCTGGTCTTGCAAAATTAGGTGTGTTACAATCAGTTGGAGTATAGTTCTGTAGCAGGTTTCTTGAGCTGTAGAGCATTGTAGGCCTCGGTGCTACAATTGCATGGACTTTCAGTTAGGAGAAACATGTCATATAGAGGGAAGAGTGTCCAGATCCTGTCACTATTTCATATCCATTTATCTCAGAGGCTTAGGTCCTGCTGTTGAATAGACTTCCCTTCTTTTCTTATGCGGAATACCTCCCTGGAAGATTCTGCTTGCCTACATAAGTTCTTGCTTCTTTTAGAGACTTCTAGTTGAATAGTATACATGCTCACATGCTTATGCATCTGCATACACACACACACACACACACACACACACACACACACACACACACACACACACACTAACCTGAGAAACTCAAGTTTCTATTAACACAATGGAGATGGTGGTTGTCATTTATGTGCACTCACTACCAACTTTGTGTCCTCTAATAGAGCTTGTCACCATGAAAAATAAAATGTTTTAAGAAGATTCTTAATAAAATGTGCAAGAAAGAGAGATGCAGATACTAGGAGGTTTGCTAAAGTAGCACATTTTATCCTCTTAAATCTATCAAAAAAAGTAAACAAAACTGGAATACATGTGCCCTGGGTTTGACCATAGTTAATATTTACTGTTGTATTTTTTTACTTGAGTTTTATGAAGCTGGAGATGCTTCAAAAATCTCAAAAGCCCTAGGCCTATGTTGTTTTTCTTCCTCATTCTCCATAATTGACCTACCTGATCCATTTCCCAGCCTGAGCCCTGGTCCCTCCTGTTTTCTGGAACACGAGACTAGGTGGTGTCTTACAGACTCCCCTACACTCTGGTGCTGTGGTTCCACGAACTTGAATGTTCTTCAAAGTGAGCCAGGTCATTGTCTTTTTCTAGCACAACTCCACAGGAGCTTAGTTGTTAAATTGGGGAATCGACTCAAATGGAAAGTATCCTGGGCTCTATTTATCTAACAGGGGGACCTATGCAAAATGCTCAAATTCAGAGCCATTGGTTGCATGCCCCTCTATAAGATGAAAGTTGAAAGAAAATTGGGCTTCTACAGCCTACAAAAACATGCATAAATAAAAGATTACAGAAGCAACCTGTGATATGGAAATAAAAGCTTACTTCTTAGGAAGTAAATGTGAGGAAAACAACTGTGTAGAGTTAAAGGCTGAGTCAATGTCTCCCTGGCATAGGTTCTATTGAAATTATCAACAGGATAAGAAAGTAATGAACGGATTGCTAAGGAAAAGACCTGCTCACCTTGTTCCTGTATCTTAAGTCCCCCAAAGAAGCTGACTCCCCCTGCTCAGTGCTGGAACTTTGGCAGGCAAGGACAACCAGGTGTCAAGGAAGGAGAAAGGGCTTGATCAGGTTTGAGTAATCTGACCTAGGTCAACAGGCTTTAGTAACACCTGGACAAAAGCCAGGATCGGTTATTTCTTCAGCAAGTCTGGACTTTTAGATAAGGAAAAGGCTTTCCACTGTCTCTTAAGGAATGATCCCAATCCTTTAATCGTCAATCCCTGTGAATCTTCCAGAGTCAACCTAAGAAAGCTTTTATTTCTTCTCTCTTCTGCTTAATCACTCTCCACTTATCCACCAATACCCAGCTCAAGCCACACCCTTAGAACCCCCAAGTTCTCCTGATAGGAAAAGGAAGTATCTTGTATTCCTTTCTCCCAAAGCAGTGAAATCTTATTATAACGCACTCTCTATTATAGGACATGTCATACTATATGTGACTGTTTCCCTTTTTTTCAGTTAGAAATGTTAAAGTGTTTTTTTTAAAACTTAGCTTAAACCCAAACTGACATACTAGTTTGTGTCACTGACAGTTTCACCTTCAGTTGAAGCTTGAATCCACTCAGCTGCCTGTCTGTATCTCCAAAATCTGTCTAAGTGAGTTTGATTCTCAAATTTCTTATTTGCCCTGACTTTGCATGTGGTTATCAGGAACATCAAGCTTAAACCACCTCAGAACTCCTGGCAACAAGAAAAAGAAACTCTTATTCGGAAGCTAAGCTAGTCTTCTGAGTCCTGATTGACCTGGCTTGTATCATGTACTCAAATCTAACCAATTGCTGTGGTATAGAGATTTTAAGTCTCTAATTAGCTTGACAGAGGTAATATGCCCCCACCCATGGAGGCCAGAAGATGACTTGCCTAAGCCTAGTGGGATGGAAGCAGCAAATGAGTGAGTATTATTACTGCCACACCAAAAAAAGGTGCACCATGAGTGCTTCATAACGCCATTTCTGACACACAGTAGGTATTTAATAAATAACGTCTGGGTCTGTGGATAAAACAGTGCCTATAGCCTGTGTCTACCCTCACTTCTCTTCACTGTTCTCATCCATATGGTTACTGGAGACCATTAACCTTCTAGAAACTAGAACTTAAGCAACTAAGCATTCTTCTACACTTTTTTTTCTCCAATAGCCAACATGACTTTGATTGGTCATGATTGGATTGATTTTATTCAGAAGCCACAGAAGTGATTTCTTGCTAATTTTCTTGGAGGATTTTCCACAGTGTGATTAGATTATTACTAATCTAATAATATACCATACTAATGGTGTTATTAATAACATTTTGTGAGTTTTCCAGCAATCATATAGCTCACTCAAGGAAAAATTTGAAAATCCTTTATTCTGAAAAGTTAGACATATTAATAATTACGTTACTCTGCAGCCACCACATAGCACATTTCCTCACAATAAGCAAACAAATAGATAAAAACTGTATTCCTGTTAAGGTAGTAGAATTGCATGTTTTATTTATTTTTTATGATCAAATGCCTTGTCACTGTATCTACAACTAACATTCACCAACCCATATGTTGAATCCTTCTTTTGTACATGGGAGGGGAAACTTGAAAAGTGACTCCCTGTCCTTAGGTCTACTTTCTTTTCCTTTCTTTTTTTTTTTAACCCCTGGATCCAGTTCATGTTGTTAGAGGATATATATATATATATAGATAGATATAGTGTGTGTGTGTGTGTGTGTGTGTGTGTGTGTGTGTGTGTGTGTGTGCCTGAGAGCACTGAAGTCTATCTGCCCCAGATTCATTACTGTATGTTGGAAACTGTCATTTCTTGGCCTCCTCTTAAAACCAACAGAACACAGCAACTGTGTTCTTCATCATTAGAGGAAAGATCAGGGGAAGAGTCTTGCACAGGCTCTAAGTACATTCCCATGTTCTTCACCCTATTTTAAAGAAAGAGGAAACCATGGGATGGTTAGAGAGGGCATCTCTAAAGTATAATGCCAAGAACAAGGACCTTTACCTAGAACCAAGAGAAGAACTGCACATAGTTGAGGGTGGTGGATCCCAATGAACACAATTGTATCGTCTATACAACTGCTGCTCCAGGGACATCCCCTCTTAACAAACACCTACACAAACATGCTCACATATGTGCAACACACACACACACACACACACACACACACACACACACACACACACACACACAGTCAGTCAGTCAGTCATGGTTTAGGTCCTAAAAATGATCTCTATAACTAAAAGAAACTGGTCTTCAGATGAAGCTATGGTCAAATGTGGAAGATGCCTGTCAGGAGCCATATAGACACAAATGCCCATGATCCTGGGCCCCTGGGAGGTTCTGTTGCATCAACAGACCACAATGACCAGAATACAAGCATCAATAAAGTCTTCAAAGTTGTAATGGAGACTGTTGCCACCCTGCCACTTACCCTCAAGTGCTCACCATTGCACTTATTCCCAATGATATCATTTTTCTGAATGCTTTAAACTCTTCACCTGAAGGGTTCTTTTTGGTTGATCATGGGCAGGTTGAAAGAGTCAAGGGTTCATACTAGAAGCACATTCATTCAGTGATGGGAAGAGTTAGAGGGAGAATGCTCCAGCTTCCTCTTCCTTCAGGCGTGACCATCCTGAGTCCAGAGTTCTACACCATCTCCTGGAGGGACCCACTGGGACTGAGTCTCAGTTGTCTACAATGGTAGCCATATTAATTCACAATTTGAATAATAAGAAAGACTATTCTTCCTTTCCAGGTTTCTCTCTCTTCCCTGCCACCCTACATCACTCCTTGGCCTTTATTCCCTAGGATATTTGCCATGAGTATTTCCATGATGGAATCCACACTCTCAAATATTTGCTTTGGCAACTGCCTCAGGGCATACAAGCTTGATTTCTGACCCCGTCAATTTTGACTGCTTGTGCCTTCTCTGCATTCTTCTGTTTCAGTTTGAGAGACGAGGAAACCACAACTCAGCAAAATCCAGCAACTTTCCTGAGCTTACACAACGAGAAGGCAATACAAGCAGGATTTGAAGCAAATCAGGTTTCCAAACTCAAATTACCTATGAATGAGCTTCAATTGTCTTGCATACTACTCTAATGCCTCAAAAGAGCAGATCAAAGTGTTTGTAATTAGGGTTGAGACCCCAGACTACCATTTTCTAGTTGTCAGATCCTCCATCTTTTTCCTCATACATTGATGACAATAATTTCAGAATTGTTAAATAGCATGCTACAGTCGCTTGGCTTCGAACATAGGATGGGATGTGCTCCATATACAAGTTAGTTGGCTCCTTGGCCCACTCCATTCTCTGTATCAGGTTCATTCTTTGGATTGACAAGAGGGCAAGTAATGGCATAGGAGAATTAGCCTCACATGCTTGTTGTTTCCAGAAAGTATCTGGCTAATTTATTTCAAAAGGCTTTTGCTCCTATGAAGTTTAATAGAGTTGATGCGTATTAAAGGAATCACTTAATCTTCATCTGAATGTGAGCAGTAAATGTGTTTTGGAGATTATACTCATTCCCCAGTGACTCTAAGTACTTTCCTATTCTAAAGCTGATTCTCATCCATCAGAGCTAAAGGTTTTCAATTCTATGGAGTCACCAAAAGGAAGTACAGAGTCATAAGCAAAATGGTCATTTCCCCTTTGGTCCAGGAACGCACTCAGCGAGAGCCACAGTGTGGGGTGCTGGCTCCTTAGTGGGCCATTTATTGTTGCCCTAATCTGCTTCTGAATTTGCACAAGGCTATGGCTCTCTGAAAAACAGGCTTCAAAATCACAGGGCTGGGCTAGGGAGCTAACAGCTGTGAGCTGCTGGGTCTTCCACTGTGCTGCCCCTAATAGAAGGTCAGCCCATCCACTTACGGTGCAGCTGCTAAGACCTGTCAGGGGAGACATTTTGCCAAATGAATTTTAATGGCTTGAAATCAAGTTCAATTCACACAAAAAAAAGAAAGACAGGAAAACTTACTTGGTGTCAAATTGGCAATACTAAACTTTTACATCCTGTAAGCACATGGGATGTACAAGTTGCTGAGAGGGTATGAAGAAATTGTGTTCCCCTGCCAGAAGTAATTCAACCTAGCATTATCTGAGAAAGGGCTTGAATTTTGTCTCTGTGTTAGCGAACTAGTCTTGAGTCAAATTGGAACACAGAAGGTCTAATCACACTAGAACTAGACACAGAGTTCAATGGTGTAGAGTGAATGACGGTTGATCAAGAAAGATGGCAGCTAAGGATTTGTAGTGGCTGTCTCACATTGGGTCGCACCCTAGCAATTTCCTCCTGAAAAATGCTTCTAGACACACTCAGGCATGTTGATAGAATGGAAGTATGTAATCTAAGAGGTTAAAACAAAACAGAACAACAACAACAACAACAAAAACAACCAAACAACAACAAAAAAGCCACCTAGCCAAATTCTAGTCTCAGCTGGGACTGGAACACAAATCTTTCTGTGACCAAAGCCTATGCTTTTTGTTCTGATACTGTAACAACTATTGACCTGGAGGTAGGTTGTAGGGGAGTCATAAAGTATGAGGTCAGTTCTGATACCCATGCGGCCTTGAGCAAATAATTTACTCTGTTGAACCAGTTCCATCTGCAAAATGGGGATAATCACTATGATTTACATATGTTCTACGATTGCCATAAGGACAAAATGAGCTAATACATGTGCAATTGCTTTAAAGGCAGATAAGAGCTACTCAAATATAATTCATGGTCATTTATTGATGATGATAATGATGACAAATGTGATGATGATCACTGTATCACCAAAGACATCTCAAAGAATACTTGAAGTAGTGATACTTATTAGCATGAATATATTCATGGAAATTGGTGTCTGAGAAGCCTCTGCTTGCAGAGTGGTAGGACGACTCCAGGTACCAGAGAACCAGGCAGTGTATGTTGGGAGGAAATGAAGGCATGATTCCAGTATTATGACCTCAGCCTGAGAAAGAAGGTAAGGCACTAGCCGAGGGGGTCATCAGGGTTAGAGACCAGCAAGACAGCAAAGGGGAAGGCAGGGGAGAATCCAGATGAGATTGCATTACTGAGTCCTAGTG